TGGTCTCAGCTTTGTCCACCAAATTATTACATCACCATGACACACACATGAGTTCCATAGTAGGGTACAGAAGCTAAATTCAAGAACATATTACATCAAATAGTGTTTGTTCCCCTCCCTTCCCACATAGCATTGCAAATGGCATCCCTTATTTTAGCCATGTCAATAGAGTCTTGGTCCAGATGGGCTGGGGGCAGGTTGGTTGGATCAGCAGAAGTAGTGAAACCTTCCTCATCAGGCACTACTTCATCAATGCCAAAACCTAGGATCCAATTATGCAAAATAGCATAGGCAACTACAAGCTTCACTTGTGTCCTATACTTGTGGAAGGGTTTGTTGTCCAAGATCCTAAACCTGCCCTTCAGTGCACCTATAGCCCTCTCCACAGTCACTCTAAGTGATGAGTGCCTAAGGTTGTAGAGCTCCCTTGCATTGGTGGGCCTGTTCCTTGGGCCATACTCAGACAAATGGTACCTAACCCCCACAGCAGGGAGGTAGGAAACCATTTTGCATGCATACCAAAGCATCTACCAAGAACATTTTACCTACACAAGACATCTCTTTGTGAGAGTGTGTGTTAATAGGCCATGGAATATGTAATTAGTGTTGGTGTGCAATTACCTTCTAGCAAACTCAAGCCATCTTCACAGCTCACTGATCACGCCAAAACAGTTGCATCATGGGCAGAGCCCTCCCAGCCAGCCAGGACATAAGTGAATTTCAGATCACAATTCACAGCTACCATCATATTTTGGGTGGGATCCTTTTTCCTACCCCTAAAAGCTTGTTGCATGCGCCTAGGAACCCTTGCTAGGAAATGAGTGCCATCTATAAAGCCAATGACATCTAAAAAGCATGGGTTAGTCATTGCAACAGGTCTAATGTAACTAATGAACCCAGGGTATACAATTACCTTAAAATATGGATTCCATGTATGGCTTCCAAGAATCTTTGGGTGAGTGGTAGTGCTAGCTGGCTTTATCATTTCATTCCTAAGCTCACCCACAGCATACAACACCTGGTGGAAGTGCTTGTGGACAGTTTGGATGGACCTCCTAAAGGACTGGTGGACAACCCTAAATCTTTGGTTGTGCCCTACAACATGTAAAAACATGGCAACTTGCTCTTCTATTGACACCCCCTCCATATCAGTGACAAGACTCCTCTCTCTAAAAGTTCTCACTAACTTAAAAAAATAGCTCTCTTCATCCTAATCATAGAAATACACTCTGAATTAGTGGAATTGTATATCATTCTCAGTGTTCTCTGTCTGTGCTGTTCATTTTTATCCCTAATCAGGGCCAGCGCTATAGGATCAGGCAGTGGGGTTTTAGGTTCAGGGGTTTTCCTTTTCAGCCTAGTGGATACAAAGGTAACCATAACAACAGTCAAGGCAGCTGCCTTCCTACACAGCATGTCACGGCTCAAAGATAGATCCATCTACAAGCATGTAAAAATGTAACATGATTTTAGCTTAATGTACCCTACTAGGCATCAACATGAATGTGAAATGAATGCATGCCAACAAAAGCACGGCTGCATCTTGTATGTGATGCCTCCCAGTACTAAATTTGGACAACATCATAGACCAATGATGGAACAAAAAACTCAGAGCAATAGTAATTAGAAACAGATCAACATCCCTAATAGATCAAGAACAACAAGGTACAAGTAACACTAACAACTGCATCAAACAGTTATGAACAGCAAGGTACAATACTAATCTGAAACAGATCAACAATCCTAACAGATCACGATCCTAACAGATCAAGAACAGCAAGGTACAAGTAACCCTAATAGGAGCATGAAGCAGTTATAACAAGTATGAAACCCTAACAGATCATGAACAGCAACGAACAAGAAACCCTAAGAACTTCAAGAAGCACCACAAAAAAGAAGATTGGGGGTCGATTTCACCTTGGCTCGGGGTCCAAACAACGGAGAGGAGGCAGATCTGGAAGTAGAGGATGCAGATCGGGAAGAAGACGAAGCAGATGCGGACGGAGAAGAAGAGGAACACCGCTGCCATGGAGTCCCAGCAGCAGCCGGAGCGGGGACGCGGCGAAGAACCTCGGCACCGGTGACCTAACCCACAACCAGCCGGAGGTCGCCGCCGCCGCCACGCACCACAACTCACCGCCGGTCTCTCACGAGGGAGGTGGAAGAGCAAGCACCGAGTGGAAGAAGGAGAGAGTGGAGAGTGGGAACCCGTATATAAAGGCCGGCGAAATCGCCGCCATTTCGCTTCGCGCGCGGCGGCCAGAGCGGGAGCGGAGAGCGGGGACGCGCGCGAAGAAGTTTCCCCTTCCCGCCAGAGCCCGCGCAAGCCACCCCCCCGCCGCCCAAAATCGCCCTGCGTGCGCCACCACGAGCTCGGCTCCAAAGAAACGAGGGTTTTGGTCGTTTCCAGAGAGCCAGGCGGAGAGGTCGTTTTTAGCTCTGGGAAGCCAGGCTCGCTTACGGGCCATCGACCACAAACATGGCAACTTGCAGCCCACGGGCGCAGCCGGGCCTCCGGGTCGCAAACGCGCCCTTAGTAAACTGAAAATGATGCTGATATGGAAACCTAAGGCGGAACAAAAATGCAAAATTTTTGCTTGGACCTTGATTCTAACTGCGAACAACTTGATCAAGCGGCAATGGCCACATGATCCAATATGCAAGCTCTGTGGAAATAATCCGAAAACGCCAACACACTTATGTAAAGATTGTGTTTTTTCAAAGCAAGCCTGGGAGACACTAAAGCAGTGTTTTGGGCTTGCTACCATTGACACTGTGCGAACGGAAGGTTCGCTCCACAACTATTGGCGCAGATGTCGTTCAAAGATTGAAAGCAAGCAGAGGAAAGATTTTGATAGCATCTTAATCTATTACTGGTGGAACATACGGAAGGAGCGAAATTGTAGAACTTTTCAGAACATCTCGCTGCAACCGAGACAAGTGGCATTTCTATGCAAGGAAGACACCGAGCAGTACCAGTTGGCCACGAGATCTAATGCGCAAGCGGTTTAGTCGCAGCAGTAGTGTTCTTGATCTTCGTGTGTTGTATCTGGGTGTGAGTAGTTTGTCTTTCATGTGTTCCTTTTGCTGTTATCCTGCAAAGGGGATCCGCAGCGTTGCGTTTACTAGGCGGTGTTTAGAGTTGGGTTCTCTGGGCCTTGTGGCTAGAGGGGTAGGCGATAGTGGAGTCGGTGTTTTTCTATTGTAATTATGTTTTGTTTCCGTTTTTTGTTTTTTCCCGTCTAATAAAAATATGGCAAAATCTTTTGCCGCCTTTTGAAAAAAAAAAGATTTGTGGGTGGTGGTGTAGGAGAAGATCCCGCCGCCAGTCACGTGTACATGCACGCGTAGAGGCACACCGAGGGATTTCCACTTGATTTTATATACGCTGACAATTACCTTTCTGCCATCCTGACCAAAAGGTACAATATGTTTTTCGTAACTTCAGCTGAATCGACATTTCCGCCGAGACAAACTTGTAAATTTGTCACCAAAAAGGGTCGTTGCGACCCTGCTAGGGTGCGATGTGGCCATGGCCCGTGGGATCCAAAAATGCTTGATCTCTAGCATTGAACAAGTGAAGGGGAGGTCGCGTGCTCTTGTAAAATATTATCTTTTGAAATCTCGGAAACTTATTTATTATGAGATATAGAAAGAGTTGAAAATCACCATACCTAACTCCAGCATCATTTGCATCACTAGACTAAAAATTAGCTCATCATGTAATGATGGGTTAAACATGAACTAAGCACGAATTATTTTTTAGTAGACTATAACCATCAATTAGTCTACCTTCTTCTTATTAATAAATGTTTAGTTTTTCTATTTAGCATTCAAAACCTAGGACTATCTTTTTAGTCATAGCATTCTTCTTTGCTTTATTTATCCTACAGTCAATGTCCGCGGCCACCGATGGAGGGTTTCTTGGCTGAGAAGCTCCTTCATGTGTCACCCACTTTAGTGTTCCTCCTTACCCACATTTGTATCCATGTTATTGCTCTTGGCCACAATGTTGTCGCCGATGCCCACAGAGCGACGCTAGGAGTGGGAGGCAGCACGCTCCCTTACCCTGCTGGGTCATCGCTAGTGGGACACTATCACCCCCAAATCTTTTATTTTGGGATGTTACTTGATGATGAATACTTTGCACTGTAGGTACCATCATCAGCGGCCAACACAATGCTTCCAAGAAGATCAAACTCCTATTCAACTTCTACTAATCAGACAAAGGCTTGGGGTCTACCGGGTAGCTCGCGCTCCCTCAGTGGAGAGTGGAGATGATCTCTAGTGTGCCAAAGGATAGGAAAGTTGTGTTCGACCACAAGATCGGTCTGCCTTGCCACTCGAAGCCTCACATAGGGGTGGGTCTGCCTAGATAGACGCGCGATTAATCATGCCCACGGTTTCACGAAGGTTGGGAGTGAGAGATGATCAGATGACACAAAACTTTAAAATCACTTTTGTTGATTGCACCGGTGACCATCTAGAGAGAGATAAGAATGAGTGTGGGCTTGAGGACACACAAGATCTTTTTTTGTTGATTACACATTCTACGAAATCATCAAGCACCTCAACTAGAATGGTGCTTTATAGCACTCCACGCTCCAAAACATTGTACATTATTTATACCCATAAAATATCTCTTTCACCGTATTCGCATATAAACCTTTACAGCACATGCTGATTCTCATTGGAATACTGAGGACGACTCTACGGCCTACGGGGGTGACAGAAACTTCGAAAACAAACTACAAAGTGCCTTTAACAAACTGTCAATTTTCAACCCTACAAATCGAAGTGCAGGCATGCCCATGCCGGCAAATTTTTTTGTTCTTTTCAGTCATATATAAGTGAACATATGGCAAGTTTTATTCATGGCACTTTGTATAATAATGTGTAACAAACATATAAAACGTCCAACTTAAAGAACAGATTATAACAAGGGGGAGGATTGGCAAACCGCAAACGGGCAGAGTACACAGTAGTAGCAGCAGTAGCGTTCACTTGAGGAGGGTGTTAACAATGGACTTGGCATTCAGCTTCTTCAGGTCAGTGTAAGACTGACCACAGCCGACGAACATGACCGGAGCTCCAGACACATAAACCATGGAAAGCGCGGCACCAACCTTGTCATCAACAGTGTCAAACTTGCTGAGCAGGATGCCATCGATCAACCTCTTCTTTGCAGGAACAGCCGACAGGTCCGCGAGCTTCTGGTTGAACTGGGTGAGCTGATCGACGGCGTCGTTTCCAACCAACGCCTCTCCGACGAACAGGACCAGGTCCGGGCTGTTGAGCTTGGAGAGCGCCCTCATGAGCGGCTCGCTGTCCTGCATACGCCCAGCGGTGTCGACCAGGACGACATCTGACCTGCTCCGCGTCGCTTCCTCTATAGCCTGCTTCGCCACGACCGCCGGGTCTCTCTGGTACCCCTTCTCGAAGACGGGTATCTGGAGCCTACGCGCGTGGGTGCGCAGCTGCTCGACGGCGCCGGACCGGAAGGTGTCGCACGCCGCGAGTGTGACGGTGAGGTCGTGCTGGAGGAGCCAGTAGGCGACCTTGGCGAGGTTGGTGGATTTGCCGACGCCGTTCACCCCGACGAAGACGATCACGTACGGCCTCCCACTGTCCTTGTCCGCGTGCACGTCTCTCAGTACGTCGATGGACCGGCTTGGGGTCAGGATGCGCACCAGAGCCGCCTCCATGGCGGCCTGGACGGTGGATGCTGTGCTCGTGAAAGACCCCTGCTTCTTGCCCTCGAGGCTTGCCGCGTCGGACTCGCAGAGTTTCTCGGCGATCTCCTCCGCCACGTTCTTGGTCATGAGCCTGTCCTTGAGAGCCTTGAGCGCGGGTTGCAGATCGGGCCTTTTGATTACGCTGTTGCCACCTGCAATGCTCTGGAACACTGAGGAGAACCATCCTTTGGTTCTTGGGCCATCTTCAACCGTTTCAGCAAGATCGATCTTGCTCTGTCCCTGATTAACTCGCGCATTATCCGTCCGCTTGCTCTCATCGGCAGGGTCTGAGAAATCCAGCTTCTTGTCTGAATGCCCATTGTTGTTCCAATCCCTAGGGGTTTTCCTCTTATTAACATCTTTATTGGTCGGCTTGTTGGTGTTAGTGTTATTCTTGTTACTGTGGGTGAACCTTGTTCGCAGATTCGAAAAAAAACTCAGATCAAAGGCCTGGCCATCTTCCTTCTCCTCCTTCTCCCCGGAGACGCCATCGGAGGCATCATCCTGCTTGCTCCCATCACCATCACCATTGCCGTCAGATTCAGAATCACCAGGAGCATTGTGGACGACAGGTTGTGGCCGCGGACGACGGGGCGGCGCAGCATCAACGGGCTTCTGCTTATTAGGCCTGCTCATCTCCTCGGCTCGCGCTTGGGCCTCGAGGTGGGGCTGCCGGAACACGTCGCCGAAGCCGTCGTAGGAGGTGCGCTTGGGGTGGTAGACCCGCGTGAACTCGGCGCGGACGGCCGCGAGGAGGTCGTCGACGTAGAGGAGGCGGAGCACGCGCCGGTACACCGCCACGAAGACGAGGCCGAGCCAGTTGTGGAACGCCCACTTGAGCGCGCGCTTGCCGTCCTGTGAGAAGCCGGGCCCGTCGCCGGCGGACCGCTCCTCGAGGAGGCAGTTGCGGATGAGCTCGTCCGCGGATGAGCTCGTCGACCGGCGAGCCCTTGCCGCCGCCGCCGCGGATCAGGCCGCCGCGCGTGAAGATGAGCAGCTCCTCCAACATCTTGCCTGCCGCCAAACCTTCGGATCGATGCGGAATTGCGGATCAAGGAGATCCCCTTCTCTTCTTGTATGAGCAGAGCGATGCCTCCGATCGGATCCGGCTCTCTCTGGATTCCGGTTGTCTCCTCCAGTACGACGTTGACGTACGAGTCGATCTCGGCTCTCAGGACTCCGGGTTGGAGCGCACGATACGAGCACGATGACAGGTGGGGCCCGCTGCGTGGCAAACCGAACCGCAACGTGCACGGTGCGCGGTTGGATTAGTTCTAAGCTCCGGGCCCACTCATCAGTGAGACGGTGCACAGGAACTCTTTCCGAGGCTTTTACATGTATGCTATTTAAAAAGTTTGTAATTACGTATGAGCCATTAAAAAAATTGACCGCACACAAGTGCCATCGTTTCGAACTTCTTTGCTCTCCAAGCCATTCCATTCGCTTTTCTACTTAACGGTGTCAAACAGACAGGTGAAATGACCATTTTACCCCACGGTGGGCTCTGTTTGTCAACCACGCGCTCGGGCGAGGTGCAGGCACACCTCCCGCGCCGCCGCGGCCAAGAAGAAGGAGATGGCGGGGAGCTGCAGCGGCGGCACGAGCCCCGACAGCGACGTCGAGGGCCCCAGCGTGCAGGGAGGCGGACTCATCCCCAACGGCGGCGGCGAGAGCTAGGAGACGGCGCGTGTGGAGCTGCCGCAGCCGGTCCTCGCCATGGATCTGACGCAGCGCGCGTGGAGGTGACGCGAGGAAGTCCGCCCCAGCCATCTCGGCCCCGGATAGTCGGTCCTCAGAAGGCTGGCGGGCGAAGCACGGCCCCAGACAAAGCGGGCCTCGGGCACATGGGCGAAGCTTCGGCCGGCACGGGCCATTGGCCTGGGCAAGAAGCGAAGCTCGACCCACCCGCGCATGTGGTATGGCACAGCTGACCAAGTTCGACCTCGGACAATCTGGCGCCCTCAAGCCTTGCCCTTGGAAGCCGCAAGCGCGGCATGCAATGAAGAAGCGTAGTAAGTGCCCCAGGGCGACAGACATGCAAGCAGCCAGCTCATTGACGGCCGCATGAAGCAGTACAGCAAGCTCGGCCCAACAGCCGCCATGGCAGGCGCACGGAGAGCTCTGCCTCGCCGGCCAGCACAGGAGAAAGGAGTGAGGCGAAGCTCGGGGAAGTCTTGTGTGAGCGAGAGAGATGAGGTCGAGTTTGAGAGAGAGAGGAGATGGGAATGAGAGGGGTATTATGGACGTTTTGACTGACTGGACCCACTTATCATGACTGCCAAACGGTGAAAAACGAACGGAACACCGACGGAATGGCTTGAAGAGCAAAGAAGTTCAGAATGATGACACTCGTGTGCGGTTAATTTTTTTAATGATTTATATGTAATTACAAATATTTTTAATAGCATACATGTAAAAGCCTCCTTTCCATTTGCCAGAGTGTAACCCGAGCCAGACGCGGCGGCGGCGGCGAATCGAGCAGGCGCGGCGAAAGCGGCGGGCATGGCGGCGGCGGTGGAGAGCGTGGTGGTGGTCCACAACGTGGCGAAGCGGCACAACGTGGGGACGCTGGCGCGGAGCGCGACGGCGTTCGGCGTCGCGGAGGTGGTCGTCGTCGGCCGCCGCGACGTCAGCGCCTTCGGCAGCCACGGCGCCACCTCGCACCTCCGCTTCCGCCACTTCGCCTCCCTCGCCCTCGCCCGCGCTTACCTCAAGGCAAGCTAGCCCGCCCTGTCCTCGAGCAGGCCCCTGGCCTCAACAAACCCCTAAACCCTAGTCCCCTGTCCTGTCCTCCGTTTGTTTTTGCTGAGTATGAATGCTATGTGTTTGGGCCGCGTTTTGTTGCAGGACGAGAGAGGGTGTGACATCTGCGGCGTGGAGATCACCGAGGACGCGAAGCCTGTGACCGCGCACCCGTTCCGTCGGAGCACAGCGTTCCTCTTCGGCAATGAGGTTGGTGGGTTTCTCCTTGTCATTTAGTACAGCCGGCGAAGTTAGGTTGGTTGGTATGCAATTTGAATGGGGAAATTGTGAATCGTCATATACCTTGGTTTCGCGGACTTGAGATGGAAATTAGCTCAATTCAGTTGCTAAATTCACTGCCATGTCACTCACATATTTGCATTGGGCACTTTTAAATTGTGTGTAAACACCAAATGCCGTACAATTAGCATTCCTTTTGATGTTTCAGTCAGGTATCTATTGAAGTCAGCATAGTATTCAATAATTGATTAGCTTGACCAAAGTGTAATTCTGGAGAAAAATGCATCTCTCTTACAAAAGGACATTAATTGTAGAACTCCTAGGATACAATTAAGATGTTAGCTAGAGATGCTATTTGAGTTTTGTAATGTAAATTCTATTACAGAAATGCTATACAACACACATGTGTTTTAGCACCAAAAAACACATGGATTTTTTGTATCTATGACGTCTAGGGCCCACATGTCAAAACGAACACATAAACACCTTTGCGATCTGTGATTTGTCCTTCTATAGAAAAAAAATTATTTCTTATGATCTGTGATTTGTGATTGTCTGGAGGTAGAAGAAGGCTGGAGGTTGGAGGTAGAAGAAGGATGGAGGCTGTTGGATCTTAATCCTATGGTGCTAAAAAATTCATGAGTTAGAACTGCATAAAACACATGGTTGTGTAGTATACAGACTTGTGATCTGTGATCTTGTGATTTGTAATTGTCTGAAGGTAGAAGAAGGCTGGAGGTAGAAGAAGGGTGGAGGCTGTTGGATCTTAATCCTATGGTGCTAAAAAATTCATGTGTTGGAACTGCATAAAACACATGATTGTGTAGTAGACAGACTCATTCTATTAAGGGGCCGTTGCATGATGCTATCCTAGTTTCTTGATTCTGGAATATGGAGATGTGTTGAAATCCTAATTAACAATATCTTGAACAAGTCTTGTGGAAATGTAATCTATCACCAGAACCTTTGCTCTGTCACCAGAAATTGTAAAAAGGTAAAAGAAGGAGAAGCCAATCCCAAGTCTCAGGGCAGATGAGTTCAGAAAAGAATCCCATGACTTGTACAGATTACTTGAATATACTTGCAAACAGAAGATATAAGCTCAATGATGTATTTCATGCTAACCATTATTTGTACAAGAATACTCCATTATTTTACATTAAGATGTTTTATTGCTCAGTTGGTCACTATAATTCCCCAGTTACTAAATTAAACAAAATTTTGTATCTGAGGTTACTATTAATATGCAAGCATAGCTTACAATCTCCCTTTGTTTGATTTAAATCCTGCCAGTTCTGTTTGTTTCATCTTATAGGGCACAGGACTTTCACAAAAAGAGTGCGATATCTGTGACTTCTTTGTCTACATTCCTCAGTATGGTGGTGGAACTGCATCTCTCAATGTTACAGTTGCAGCTTCAATTGTTCTCCACCACTTTGGGGGTAAGAGATTCCATCCTGCTCCAGCCATCACCACATATTTTTGGTAATGTATAACAATTTAATTGAAATTGGATTTTGTGAAGCTGCAAATAGTCATATAAAGTTCTTCTTTTGAAATTAACTGTTTTGTGGAGCTGCAGAGCTCTAAATTTACATATTCCCACTCTAAAGAAGTCACATTTGCTCTCTGCCAACCATGTTGGGCATTTATTTGTGGGCATATATACATCTCTCTCTATAGTAGGCAGTAACTTGGGTTATTTATATATCTTTTGTACACTATGGCCTTATATACCAAACCTTCTATTGGAGTATATATATTACCCTGAAAAGTTAGAGTTGAATTTTTTGTACATAAAAAAAGATTTATATGCGTATGTTATCAAGCACTGTGGAATCTCTACTTTAATCTGCATATAGGTGCATCCAGAGGAAAACCTGATCCATTATTCTGTCTCATTTGGTGATGTCTGAATGTTCACAATACTAACTGATTTGCATATATGTAAAGCTTGTTTGGCGGGGGCAGTATGATTGATTGAATATTACAGCTGTAGCCTGAAGTCCAGGTCTTACAAATTCCTAGCTGTATGCTAGAATTTGTTTCAGATTTTACATTATATCAGTTCTTTAGCAGCTTTTGGTTTTTGCATGATCATCCACAGTGTGGGCCATGGACATAAATTATGCATAAAAGCTTGCATGATCCTTCTTAGTTTATACTTGCCCAGTATGCCAAGTTTGTTACCTTTGTTATTAGGTGTTCTTCTAAGATGATGAAACAAATCAATATACTTACCACTAGCCATGAAGAATTTCTTGTAAACCCGATCATGCACTCTTATTGGTTCAATGAAAGCACACCGTATCATAAACCTGGGTACTGTTGGTTGTCCACTGGTTTTATCTCATCAGATTTTCATTTTCTTGGTTTATAGAAGCATCATATGTCATTAAACGATACATCTAATCATAACTACACATATTCACATTTTAATTTCTGAAGTTGAACTTGATAAAGTTCTGACAGCCATTTGCGCATAAAGTTGTCAGTGATCCTAGGTTGCATCGACATGTTACAGTCACCTAATTTGTTTTGCATGGCTTTCTGCAGTCTGGGTTGGCTTTCCTGAACGAGGCCGAGAGGGCAACAAATTCATTGTGGCTGATAGACCACAGGGGCACTCAAGGGGCCTTTACTGCACAGACTCAATTGAAGCAGTGATTGAAGAGCAGAAAATGCGAAAAGAAAATGCATGTGATATACTTGAGGAAAATGGAGGCAGCCATCCTCAGGAATCAAATGGCCTAGATTTGATGTTTACAGACTAGACAATATTACATCTCTGTTGTTGAATCAAGTCAGCTTTGGTGTTGATGGCACGAATTTGCAATACTACAATGCATGACAAGAATCTCTTTCCAAGGGAAAGAAGTAGAACACTTTTTGTTTTTTGCTAGCTTGGCACGGAGAAGGTGCACTGACCTTTTTGTGAAGCCATGGGGGATGGTTAATAGTGTACCTTGAAACCAAGGGTACAGGTAAAGCACTTGTTTGTTCAGATTGTTTGTGTTTTATGTTCTAAACAAATAAACAAATGTGTTGCACTTGAAAAAATGTGTTACATGTTATCAGAATTCCTCTGTTGTAATGTACCATGTAGGTGGTTGATTCTTGGCATCTGACTTCCTCATTTCGCAGGAAGTTGGATGGTTTACTTCAAGGATGATTTTTCAACATTATCTTTGGGGAACTTGTATTTGATCTTCTATTATGAAGCTTATTTATTGTTTGTTGCCATCCTACGAGATCTGATTTTTGATCCTTCAAGATCATGGAGCACCCCAGGCCACGGGTTCACTCTTCGGTGCTAGCATCCTCGCCACTGAGTCAATGGCAGGAACAGCAACAGGGAGAATGCCGTGGCTGTCTATACAATTCTGCTACAAAGAATGAATTAATAAAGCACCCTATTGGCTGTCTATCCTTTGAAGTTTCAAGTTTCCCCTACAAAGGATGAATTAATAAAGCACCCTATTGGCTGTCTATACAATTCTGCTTTGGGGGGTATCCAACTCTGTTGTTTGAATGGAGTCCCATTGTCCATTGACACAAACTTGCAGTATAACAGCACATAATTGGGATGACTTTTGGTGACAGAGAAGTTGAACCCCATGCAAAATGAAAAAGAAAAAAAAAACAATTGGAGTGGAAAAGGAGGTGGCATATACTTTTCAGAAGCATATATCTTGGAAGTTATTTGGACATCTTACAATAATTGAACCTTCAGGAACCATGAAGATTGTGCATGCATAATAAAAGCTTACAAACTAGTAGGTAAACTTGCCAGTGCTCTATCCTTGTTCCATTGATGTGGCGACACAGATATTTGCACAAGGTCAACTGAATGCCAAGCAATCTTTCAAAAGAGCCACCTCAATGGTGAAGTTGCATGCATTGGAGTTTAGATGTTACAACAGAAGTGCTCCATGTTGGAAGAATTACAGACAATGCTTTATACCCATTTAAGTCCTAAGGGATTTCTGCAAATACTCCTTGATTCTGTGCAGCTCAGCAGCAGCATCTTTCATGTTCATTCTGTTTGACGGGTTGTCCTTCGAACATGAAATTCCAACTCCTACTACAGAAGCTAAGCAACTGAGTATCCCCGAACCATTGTCATGCACTTTATCGTGTAAATATCTTATGCGTCCAAGAGACTAAGGCCCCCTTTGGCAGGGCTTTTGCCGCGGCTTCGGGCGAAGCCCTGCCAAACGGCGACAGGCAAAACGGTTTGCGGCAAGAAGCCGGCAAAAGCCCCGCAAAACCCGGTGACTCAGTTCCTCCCCACGCGAGAAGCCAAAAAAAGTGGCTTATTCCGGCTCCTCCTCCACACTTTCCATCCTTGTCCCCGGCTTGCTCTCCTCCCCGACGCCACGCGCCGACGGCCGCCGCCACGCCGGCCTCGAGCTCCGCCCCGCGCGGCATCGATCTCCCTGCACCGCTCCGCCGGCCTCGAGCTCCGCCCCACCGCCGGCTCCCTGCTCCGCCCCGCCGGCCTCGAGCTCTAGCTCCGCCCCACTGCCGGCCCCTCCCTGCTCCGCCCCACCGCCGACCTCGAGCTCCCCCGCCAGCCTCCTGCTACGCCCGAGAGAGAGAGAGAGAGAGAGAGAGAGAGAGGAGGGAGGGAGTGGGTGACAGGATAAGGAGGAGAGGAGTGTGGCCGTTCGGATAAGGAGAAGAAAAGAAGGGGAGAAGGAAAGAAAAAGAAAAAAAGAAAGAAAAATGAAGAGAAAAAAGAAAATAGAGAAAATAGAGAAAAAATATAAGGGTATTTTGGACATTTGACATCTTCTTTACAACTAGGAGAAGCCGTTTTGCCAAACGTTTTCGTACAAATAAGCCAGAGCCAGAAAAAGCTGCTTTTTCATATGAGCCAGAGCCAGAGCTGTTTTTTCACGAGCCAAAGCCGTGCCAAACGGGCCCTAAATGGAAGGGGCAGAAGGAGAAAGAGGTGGACAATATCGGCTTCAAGCTCTGGTACACAGGGACAACTTTAAATAAAAATAGAGTAGGAGTTTTGATTGATAAGAGCCTCAAGGATGGTGTGGTGAAGGTGAGAAGGCAAGGGGATAGGATCATCTTAGTTAAACTTGTCATTAGTGATATGGTCTTAAACGTAATTAGTGCGTATGCCCCCAAGTAGGCCATGATGAGAGTGCTAAGCAGCTTTTCTGGGAAGATTTAGATCGCTTGGTTAGAGTTGTCCCTAGTAGCGAGAAGCTCTTTATAGGAGGTGATCTTAATGACCATGTAGGTACATCAAGTGTAGGTTTCGAGGCGATTCATGGGGGTTTCGGATATGGTAGTAAGAACCAGGAGAGAGAGGAAGTCTTAGACTTCACCATAGCTTTTGATCTGATGATAGCTAACACTTTCTTCCATAAGATACAGTCCCATTTAGTAACCTTTAGTAGCGGCCAGTACTCTAGTCAAATCGACTTTGTCCTTATAAGAAGGAGGAATAAACGAACATGCGTGGACTGTAAGGTGATACCTGGAGAATGTGTGGTCGTTCAACACAAGCTGGTGGTAGCTGACTTCCGCTTTTCTGGTGCAAGCTCGTGGGAACAAACAAGTTAGGGTTGCTAGAACGAAGTGGTGGAAATTAGAAGGGGAGACATCAAAGGTCTTTAAACAAAAGGTCATTGAAGAGGGCCCTTGGAATGATGAAGGCGATGCAAACAGCATGTGGAAAAAGATGGCAACATGCGTTCGGAAGGTTGCTTCAGAGGTGCTTGGAGTGACCAAAGGGAGCGGATGCGACTCGAAAGACACTTGGTGGTGGAATGAAAATGTGCAAAAGGCTATTAAGGAAAAGAAGGAGTGATATAAACGCTTGTATCGTGACAGGTGTGTAAACAACATAGAGAAGTACAAGGTGACAAAGAAGACTGCAAAACGAGCGATGAGTGAGGCAAAGGGGCGGGTGTCGACGAAATATGGTCGGCAGTCCACCGAGGGGGGTGCCCGTGGTGGTAGATTATCGGTAGACGGTGCGTGTAATCAGGAACCAGATGGTGACACAAGGCGCAGAGACAGCGATTTAGACAGGTTCGGGCCGTCTGGTCGACGTAATACCCTACGTCCTGTGTCTTTAGTGTATTGTATTGAGATGTATACAGATTAACCTCCTTGGGTCTGTCCTCTAGGGGACCCTTGCCCCTCCTTATATACTCCAAAGGGACAAGGTTACAAGTAAAGTATCCTATTTGGTACTATTACAATGTCTTGCGGTGCACGCCAAGCAGCGCCGGGCACGCCTTGATCTCACGGGCCGGGCCACCTCGGATGGTGCGGCCCATGTACCATCTTGTGGTACCCGGGGGTATATCCCCCACAGCGGGCCTATGAGGACCTTTACCGACGTTTGAGTACGAAGGAAGGAGAGAAGGACATTTATTGGATGGCTAGGGCTCGCGATAGGAAGACAAGGGACTTCAACCAAGTTAAGTGCATAAAGGATGAGAGGAAGCAGCTCTTAGTGAAGGAGGATGAGATCAGACATAGATGGCAAGAGTATTTTGATAAATTGTTCAATGGTGAGAACGAGAACACCACCGTTCAACTGGACGACTCGTTTGATGACACTAACAAGCGCTTTGTGTGGAGGATTCAAGAATCGGAGGTCAGAGAAGCCTTGAAAAGGTTGAAAGGGGGTAAAGCGATGGGCCCTGATGGTATCCCAATCAAGGTGTGGAGATGTCCCAGAGATATAGCTATAGTATGGTTAACCAAGATGTTCAACAATATCTTTCGATCGAACAAGATTCCTGAGGAGTGGAGAAGAAGCATATTGGTACCAATCTACAAGAACAAGGGAGATATCCAAAGTTGTACTAATTATCGGGGAATTAAGTTGATGAGCCACACTATGAAGTTATGGGAGAGAGTCATCGATTAGCGCCTGCAAGGAACGATACAGATATCAACAAACCAATTTGGTTTCGTGCCCGGAAGGTCAACTACAGAAGCAATCTTCTTAATAAGATAGGTTATGGAGCGGTTTAGAGAGCAGAAGAAGGACATCCACTTGGTTTTCATTGACTTAGAGAAGGCTTATGATAAGATACCAAGAAATGTTATGTAGTGGTCTTTGGACAAACATAAAGTCCCATCAAAATACGTGACCCTCATCAAGGACATGCACAACAATATTGTGACTAGTGTTCAAACAAACGATGGTAAACAGATTACTTCCTGATTAAAATTGGACTTCATCAAGGGCTAGCCTTAAGCCCATATCTCTTTGCCTTGGTAATGGATGAGGTTACCAGGAACATACAAGGGGATATCCCTTGGTGTATATTGTTCGCTGATGATGTAGTGTTAGGGGACGAAAGCCAGGCGGGAGTAAATAGGAAACTAGAGTTATGGCGGCAGACCCTTGAGTCTAAAGGTTTTAGATTGAGTAGAACTAAAACCGAATACATGAGATGCGACTTTAGCGGAGTTGTACAGGAGGAGGGAGATGTGAGTTTGAAAGGTCAAGTAGTGCCTAAGAAGGATACCTTTCGGTATCTGGGATCGATGCTATAGAGGGATGAAGATATTGATACGGACGTTAGCCATAGAATCAAAGCAGGGTAGATCAAGTGGCGACAAGCTTCTGGCATTCTCTATTATAAGAGGGTACCACAAAAGCTAAAAGGCAAGTTTTATAAAACGGCGATTAGATCGGCTATGTTGTATGGAGCAGAATGTTAGCCTACAAAGATTCGACATATTCAATAACTGAGTGTTGTAGAAATGCGTATGTTGCGATGGATTT